AATGAAGAAGCTTTATTGTAGAAATGAAATAGCTTTAGCTTGAATACATTAACATGTTCCTCTCCTATTTATAGGATTAAGAGGGAGGATTTTCCTCAACAGAATAAATGATTTTCCTCAACAGAATAGATAAGATTTCCTCATATAGTGGGAAAATCTTATCTTCTATCATGCCCCCGCAAGATGGTGCTCCTGACAAGGATACCAATCTTGGATCATCTTCTATCAGTATCGAGCTACTACCTAAGATGCCCCATCCATCTCCTCTGGTCCCGACGATCATTGCACGACAAGTAAGCACATTTAACTTCATGCTTCTCTGTCATTTGAAGCGTGAGATGTGCACGCGGTATGAACGTGTACACGAAGAAGATCGACTAGGAAGGAAACCAAACTCCTCGCGTGTAGCAGGAGAAGTTCATGCCGGACAACACAAGAGTCCACGCAGAGTCAAAGACATGCAAAGAGCACACGTGGAGTCAACATTCAAACCTTTTCGAGACAGCATCCCTACATCTTCGACGACGAACAACGGTTTTGACTCCACATCTTATTCCTCTTCCCATCAAATAGTCGAGAAGGAGATTAGATGTCTTGCAACTGTACATATGATCGTGATTTCGGAACTATCGGTTGTAGTAGTTTTTCAAAACCAAGAATTGGAACCGAACCCTCTTAGGTTTGATTCTGATTCGAACCATTAATTTTTTTTTTATTAAAAATATAAAAAAAATTATAAATTATTTTTAAATTTTAAAAAAATATGTGTATAATATGTGTAATGACAATAAAAATAAAATTATAAATTTTTTAATCAAATTAAAAAATACTTCTATTAAAATTTACTTAATAAAAATATTTTTAGTTTATGTTATTTATCCTATTTAATCGGTTTGAAACTCGGTTTAAAACTAAGTTTTAGTTTTCCAAAATTAGAAACTTGAATTTAATCGCCTTCGGTTATAATTTTATTTGAAATCGATAAATCAACGAATTGATTTGAACTTGATTCCAACTTCATATGGTTAGCAACCATGACAATGCCAACAAAGGAGTTCTAGGTTAGTATGACGCGACACTTCAGACCCGAACCGGGTGACTAATTGCCCTAGTATCGTTTGACATCATATAAGTCAATGTCGCATATCGCAGAGCCGTTTTAGAAAGCTTGGAACGGCACCACACAGTGTGGGTCTATACAGGTCGGTCGGCGTTGGTCCGTACGGTAAGCCAACTGGCCGAGAAGTCAGCAACCATTAACAAACTATATACGATCGACCCTTGTTCATAGGTATAAAAATCAACCCCGTGACCAACGTCAAGAGAGGATTTCGAGCATTTAACTCTCTTTTACTTTATTTAATACTAACTTAAACTTTGGAGGGGTTAAGTCGAAAAATCTCCCTTCCGACTTCAGCTTATGTGTAGGAGTTTGATGACAAAGAAGCAGACAACCTGCCAAGGGAGAATATAAGCCTAGGGAAATGAGGCTTGAACTGAACCTTACTCGATACTCACTTCCACCATCTGAGATGGACAACGTTATGCATCCGGGATTGAATCGAGCCATGTCGATACTTATGAGGG